TTTTTTTTTCTTAAAGTAACAATTAGGTTAATCGTTTTAATCATTAGTGTTTTTTTTATACTCTATCAATAAATCAGTAGGGAATTTTAAATGTTTAATATTATCATGAGAGATTGGGAACTCTTTTGTTTATCATTGAATATTTGTATCATCATTCATTCACAGCATCAGTTGATTACCTAAATACAATTAATCATGAGAAGCACATTGACAAATCGTTTTTGATTAACATCAAATTGTTGTAGAAGCGTGAAAAATAACAAGATACTTCAATTATCATCATTAACTAATAGTAGTAACATTAGACATTGACCTTCAGGTCATAATAAGTCCAATAGTAGATGCATCATCATCATCATCATCATCATTATGTAATCGCATCCACAAAATCAACCTTAAATTGTTTAACAATTTACTAAATGAATGAACCGTGAGAGTGATGATGAATCTATTGCAATAAAAAAAAAGTGATGAGGATGAGCAAAAATTAGATGAAATTTTCAATCTATTGATAAAATCGTCTCTCTCTCTCTCTCTCTCTCTCTCTCTCGTCTCTGGGATGATATAAATAATTATTAGTCGATTGAGTAATTGCTCTTGTTATGGTTATTATATTATGTCTATGGATTTTTTTATTGTATGGTTACAATTAATTTTCCAAATGAAAGTTAAAAAGCCGTAGCACTTGAAGATTGGCCTTAAACACGAGCTCTGGAAATGTAGGTTAGTTGAAGAGAAGAAGATGTGAAGATGATGCTCTATGAATAGGATGATGAGGATGAGCCTCTTGATGTTCTGAGGATGATTCTTTTTTTGTTTTTCATCTTGATGATCAATGAAGAAATAGACAGTGAGAGAGATGGAAAAGTCGGAGGATGAAGATGAAGATGATGATGATGAAACTGAAGAAAAAGCAAAATCCTCAAAACTATGAGTTGGATTGATCAATAAGTACCTTTGAATAACTTGGAAGATAATAAAATTTTTTTTTTCATCTTCTTCCCTCTTTATCATCAATTCAATTTGAAATAATTATCATTTTACCATGATGATGATGATGACGATTTAAATGATTCAGTTTAACTTTTCTACTTTATTTCAAAAGGACTCTTCATTTTTCATCATCATCTCTTTTTTTTATGAAAAGAAAGCAAAATAAAATGAAAAGGAAGATGATGATGATGATGATAAAGTATATAATATCTCTTGCAACTCTCCCCTTGTAAAAAAAGGTAAGATGAAGATGAGGCTAAAACCAATCCTCAAAATGTTAGTTTATTCACGAAATGAGTTTGTTATTAGTCCAGGTATTAGGTACATGATATCCTTTACCTTGTCAATACAAATTAATTGACCTTTAACAACTCACTGGACTCTCTCTCTCTCCCTTGTTACCTTCAATTTTGCTCACCTTAGAATTGCATTTGAACAAGTAAATATATGTGTATGCAAATGGTAATGATAAGTATGCATTTATATTTCTATCTGAATATTGAACAGATAAAATAATGTGAATATTTTGTTTTTTTTTCTTCGGGAAAATGAATAATATTACAAATGAATGGTTTTTACTCTTCCTCACCACAATCATCATCATCCAGGGTAACTCTCTCTCTCTCTCTCTCTCTCTCTCTCTCTCTCTCTCTCTCTCTCTCTCTCTATTTTCCGTCTCATAGTGAAATTAATTAGTCCAAAATGGCAACTAATCTTCTTATTATAAGCTCCATCATTGGGTAGACATTGGCTTCTATACTCTGGTAATATCAATGTGATATAATGTTGTATGAATGGTAAATGATGCTGATGATGTTGTATTAATAAGGATGATGTTTTTGTTGGCCTGTAAGGTTTTTCAGATGCAAATGGTTGTTGATGATGATTATTATGGTGATGGAGATGATGGGGTTGCTTGGTTGCTTGGAATCAACTTTGAAAACCCTGTATAATTGCTGAGAGAGTGAGAGAGATGGAGATAAAGACATCCACGAGATTATCTTCTCAATACAAATGATTCGCTTTTATCATTTTTTTTTCTCTCTCTCTTTCTCCTCTTTTTCTTCTGATTATCTTCCAATTTGTTTCTCTTCTCACTCATTATGATGAGATAAAAGTAAATCATCATTGTGTCTATGTATCACCCTTACTATTGTTTATCCTCATCATTGTTAATCTTATGCTCTCTCTCTCTCTCTCGATTCCACCTTCATTCATTACTTATTCATTTGATTATCAGAAAAATAAAAAGCTCAATGCATTTTACATGATGATGATTATGATATACTTGAAATTATCTGATGCAAAAATATTGCATTGATATATTTTTTTGTTGTTGCTGCTGCTGTTCAATTGAAACATGATACATGTATATGCACACGATGATGATGAAGATGATACAATCAATTACTATTATTGTATAACTAACCTTAGTATGAAATGATTATAAAAGTAGGGGGAAAATGCTTGTTATCATGATGGACTTTGTTAATCCTTCAATAATCAGTCTATAGGATTTTATCCTCATCAACTTCATCTTTGTCTTTTGTTGGTTCATCCTCATCATTTTTCCCTGTTCTGTTTTGATACACTTTTGTATCTTAGGGACACATCATCCCATTGTGATACATTTCTCTCTCTCTCTCGATTCCACCTTCATTCATTACTTATTCATTTGATTATCAGAAAAATAAAAAGCTCAATGCATTTTACATGATGATGATTATGATATACTTGAAATTATCTGATGCAAAAATATTGCATTGATATATTTTTTTGTTGTTGCTGCTGCTGTTCAATTGAAACATGATACATGTATATGCACACGATGATGATGAAGATGATACAATCAATTACTATTATTGTATAACTAACCTTAGTATGAAATGATTATAAAAGTAGGGGGAAAATGCTTGTTATCATGATGGACTTTGTTAATCCTTCAATAATCAGTCTATAGGATTTTATCCTCATCAACTTCATCTTTGTCTTTTGTTGGTTCATCCTCATCATTTTTCCCTGTTCTGTTTTGATACACTTTTGTATCTTAGGGACACATCATCCCATTGTGATACATTTCTCTCTCTCTCTCTCTATCTGTGTGTTTATATGCTCGAAAATATCAACATCAGGATAAGTAAGCAAGAGAATGGTGAAGGAAAAATGATGAAGGAAATCATTATGATGATGGAAAATATTATAACCAACATGTTATTCATCTTTTTGCACAATTAGAGAGGTGGAGGTGGGATGATGATGAGAGAGAGATTGTTGACTGGAGAGAGAGAGAGAGATGATGATGATGAAGAATCTGTAAGAACCTGAAGTGATGAAGATAAACAAGAAAAAGAAAAATGGATGATAAAAGAGATCGGAAGTAATTTAACACTCAATATAAAAAACGAGAGATGAGGATGAGAAGAGGAAGAAAAATTATATTTCATGAAAGATGCTGATGAGTAATTGAGATGAATTATTTTCTATATTGATTTATATTGAAATGATAGGAGAAAATGATGATAATGTTGATCATCATGAAAGAATAAGATGAAAAAAATGAACCGAAACTGAATTGAGTAGAATCATGAAAAAAAGTTGAAAAGAGTAACAAGATTTTTTTTTTGCTTCGTGATGATAATGATTATGTTTCAATGGCTTTGAATGAGAAAATGAAAATGAAAAAGAAAAGAGAAAAAAATTATCATGATAATTTTCATATCCCAGAATTTGTTCTCTCTCATTAATCAGCTGATTTCTATATTTGCAAAACAATTGCACTTTGATAGAGACAAAAGACATTTATTGCTAATTTGTCTGAATGGTTTTCGATTCATTTTCATAATTGATAATCATATACACTTATCATGGTCATTCCAAGGTTTTATCATGAAAGTGTTATGATATTGTTCAGATAAACGAATCGTTTTCTTGATAAATTGTTACATTTTTTTTACTTGTTCCCAAATTAATCCGTTTTATCTGTATAAGATGATGACGAAGAGAAAAGATGTAAAAAAAGAAAACATGACAAATGCAATACACTGAATAGAGAAAGAGAAAAAGTGAGTGAGTGAGTGAGAGATAAGATAGAGAAATGATGATAAAGATGATGAAGATAATGATTGTGGCGCAGGGAAAAGATTGAAGAAACCTTGAAGTTTGCAATTGCAACACTTGCATTTGCTATTCCAAGGCTTTTGCATCTTCATCATCTTTTTTTTTGCAAAGTCCAAGCAAGGATAAAGATAATGATGATGATGGTGATGATGGTGATCAAAAACTGCAAGAAAAAAAAGATACAAGAATAAAAAAAAAGCACTAAACTCAGGTGAAAAATGAAGTTAAGTGAAATTTATTTCTGCAAAAGTGTGAAAATGTCTGAACAAATTGCAATATAAAAGGAGGCATGAGAGGCATCACTGTTTCCACCATTGAATTTCAATTTTTACAGGTAGAAAAAAAAACAAGGTGAAACAGGTAAATAAAAATCAAGGTAAAAAAATGACAAAAATTTTATGCGATTTTTAAATCTCTATCTTTCTCTTTTTTGTTGTTTGCTGCATCTTTAGATGATGCTAAAGATGATGAAGATAACGACGATGAGGATGATGATCAGTATAGACTTTTGAACGATAAAAAAATACCTTGTGTTGACCCAACACAGAAAAACGATGGTCAAAGTGGTGGTTTAAAGGGAATTGATTTATGATCTTCATCATCATCTTTCCTCTCATCCTCATCTTCATTTTCATCTTCATCTTGTTCCCTTTCTCTCTCTCTCTCTCTCTCTCTCTCTCTCTCTCTCTCTTGATTCCTTTTTTCATCTTCTCTTTTTTTTTACTAATCCTCTTGGTAATTTTTTTCCTTTCGCTTTTTTTTCTGTACATGATTATGATTCTTGTGTATACTGAATATGTGTGTATCTGTATGTGTATTTTTTTGCCCAATTTGATTTGGTTAAATGGTCAAATTAAATTAATTGTCATTAAATTTGATTACCTTCACAGGGAAGCTGAGGATCAAATGGTAATGAAGGAAACTCAAGGGCCTCTTAACTTTACCGCTGCGGAAAAGCAATGTATCGTTTCTTGAAGACGAATCATCATCATCATCATCATCTCTTTCTCTTCCTTTTTCATCAAGATGATGATGAAGATGATAATCTGAATGGAGACAAAAAAAAATAAGAAAATAACAAAATTAAGAAGCTGAAACGAGGCACACACCCAATCAATAACATCATCATCATTAACATCATTAGACTATCATTAATGTGGATAATATTGGTTAATGGAAGATTATTATCAGGATGATGATTATTATCACCAGGATCGTCTTTATCTTCATCATCTTGATCATCATTTATCTTCAAGCAAGTAACGAAATGACCGAGATGAAGGTGAAATTTGATCAATTTTTTTTTGTTTGCTCATTTGAAAAAGTTACGAAAACAACAACAACAAACAATCAATTAGTTGAAATGGTCTAGATAATCAATGGATTTTAGCATTTGTGAGTTTTTATCATGAATTTCAGGGTAACATTGATTGGGAAGATAAATGATGAATGATGATGATAAATTCTTGTAAACACAATTATCATGCATTTGATTATTATTTACACAATACAATTGAGTTAAAGGTGAAAACGATTGTCACCTCAACCTTTTTACACAATCGACCATAGATATTTGTTTATTAACTGAATATTTGGACGCTATTATTGTGATTATCGCCATTGGACTAGCGTGAAAATTGCTAAAGTAAACAAAAGTTTTTCTTTTCTTTATCATCATCATCAGTCTGTGTAATTTTTGTACATAGAGGAAGAGGATGAAGATGAGAAGAAAGAAGAGAGAGAGAGAGATAAATATACAAGAAGAACTCACTGAACAATCTGTGAATTTACTCGGTGGAAGATGAGGATGATGAGCATTACTTTCAATTCCCACGAGATGATTTTCCATCCATAGGATTTTTCTAGTTGCTCTTTTTTTCTGGTATATTAATACTTCTTGGACTTTTATTTTTCTCTTGTTGCTTTTTGTTGTTTTTCTTTCACTTGTTAAAAGGTAATTTCATAATTGAATAGCTGTGTCCATCTTTTAGCTACAGAATTGACCCATTGTTGATGTTTATGCTCGTTGTTGTTGGTGATGATTTTTTCGTCGAGTGTCCCAATGTCAAATTGGAACGAGAAAAGAGAGAGAGAGGAAAATATCTTCCATGTCAATTCAGTTGATTGTCAGCTTAGTTAAAACTATCATAGAGATTGATATATATTTTCCAAGGTCCACAGAGATAATGATAATACACTCTGACTGATGATGATGTTTTGTGATCTATGGTTGAATTTGTGTCAGGGTGAAGACGTTGACATGTTCGTTTGTCAACTATTACCTTGTTTTCCTCATTCCAATTCCTATTCTTTTTCTTCATCTCTTCTTCTTCTTCTTCTTCTTGCTCTTCTTCATCTTATCATCATCCTCTCTCTCTTTCTTCATCTTTATCTGTCTCTCTCTCTCACACACACAAAGTTATGAATATAATCAGTGCCTTCAGGCTTGGAAACATTTAGCTCACATTCCTTATCGTTACAACGTGATATCATCTCAATCATGGTGATAATAAGTTGATGATTGCCTTTGAATTATCAACTTTACATTAGTTACATTCCAATAGCAATTTACCAGCAATCAGTTGATTTTAATTGCATTTTTATAAATATTTAATGTTTATCATTGTTTTCCATTCAATTATAATTACTAATTAGATCTCAATTCATTCAGTTAATTGTTCACTAATTAAATACTTAATATTTATGTTTCGTCATAACTTTTATTGTAACTTTGTTGTTGTTTTTTACTTCATTCATTGTCTGTCTTAGGTTTACAATCAAAACTTCATTGTAACAATCAATTGATTATAATAATAAAATTTGTCCAATTTTCTCACTCTATCAGTTTACAATTGTTGATGTCGTCGTTGTTTTGTTGATTTAAATTGTGAAATTTAATCCGATCCGGTGACTTGTCTTTCTGTTATTGTTGTTTTACTATTGCTACTTCCGTTTCCGTCATATGCACACAAATGGGAGGAATAAGTTTTTTATCATAACATGTTACATATGTTAACTCAGATTTCATTCATCTCTCTCTCTCTCTCTCTCTCTCTCTCTTCAATTATCATCTTCCTCTTATTATCATTTTCCATGAGAGAGAGAGAGAGAGAGCAGGATAAGGATGATGAAGTTGTGGTGGTGTTGGTGGTGGTGGAGGCCAAGAGGGAGGAAGAAAGTAATTAATTGTCAAATTAGTTGATTAACCTTGTAACTAATTGATTAAGATTGATTTTAGTTAAAAATTAAGTAATTACATTGAAAACTTGATACTAATTGAATAACATTAATTATATTGAAGAGATGGGGAGGTGATCAAGGGAGAGAGAGAGATGATGATGATAGTGGGAGAGGAGGGAATGAAGATGAGGTGTGGTGAAGAACGAGGTAAGTAAACTGGTTGGAATTACGTTTGATCCTCATGAAGATAAAGATGATGAGAAAAAGAGGAAATTTTCAACATTTTTCTCTCTCTTTCATCATCATCATCATCACTTTGGACAGAAAGACAACCCACCTGTAAACAATGAGACCAGAGACATGATGATGAAAAGAAAGGTAAAAGGTAAGTAAAAATGGACAAACAAACTGACCATTTAAACCAATTCGGATTCATAGGTAAACATGATGATGAAAAGTGACCAACATATAAAACTTTCATTGTATTAAAGTTAAGGTCAATTCGTTACCTTTGAAAATAATATCTATTGATTTAAAACGGTCAATGAATTGATGATGATAATAACGATAATGGTGATGATGATAATCTGGATATTTGATAATAACAATAAAAGAAGATGAAACAAAATAAAAAAAACTGTAATTGGGAAAAACAATAGATTGTTGTGACTGATTGAGATTAATTCAACTTAATTAACGGATTTAATTGACTTTTCTAGTTTATTTTCATCCTTTAGTATTTATATCAACTCAGCATGAGGTCTAATGAATTAAAATTGAACAACAATCAACAACAATCAAATTGAAAGGTGAAAATAAATGTAACTCAAAACAAAGCTCCTTGTAAATGATAATGTTTTATTGTTACTTGATGATGATGATGAGGACCAAGATGATGATGATGATGATGATGAGCTCTGTCCATGTCTATCAAAAAAAAAAGAGATGAGGATGATGATGAGGAAGAGAAGTAACTTTTTTTTTCTTCATCATTTATTTTGTTTTGTTTTTCATCCATCAACAAATAACTATTACCAAACTTTTGACAATCGTTAACGTTTTGTTGATGTTTAAATGTTTTCCTTGCTAAATTGTGTTTCCAATTTATCTTCATCATCATCCTCATCATTTTCATCTTCATCTTCATCTTCATCTCTCTCTCTCCCTGTAAATCACTAACTTATCATGTTATTGTTTTCAGGTCTCATTGAGTTTGAAATTAAGGTTTTAAGTTTCAAAACAAGTTAACACTTAAATATAAAGCAAACGTTGATTAACTTAATTGGTTTCAAAGGTAAAATAATATAACTGATGATGATGATGATTAAGGTGATTGGATAACAAGTTAATCATTCATCTTGTTGATTAATTTATTTTTTTTACACTTAACCTTAAATTCAATTGTTTTTTTCCTTAATTGTTAGCGATTGCAATTAGTTGATTTCGTTTCATTTTCATTTTCAGGTTCCTCATTATTAACAATCATTTGTTTTTCATTTATACCAATTAGGTGAATAATTTGATTGCAACTGATTACTTTAATGAATTGTTTCTATTAATTATTTCACAATTAATCAATGTAACACTTAATCAATTACTCAAGGTTGTGTTAATTCAATTGTTTCCTTAAATTGTTAGGTAACTGATAATAAATTGTTGAAAATAACGTTGACTTGATTTTGGATTTGATTAAGATATTGATTTTTTTTTGTTTCTTCTGTTGATCAAATTGTTTAATTAACTTTCTAATTGCGTTTATCAAAGTTGATTAAATTTCATTTTCATTGACGATACTCATCACTCTTATCATCATCATCATCATCATCATCAATTGTAAAATGATTAATCAACTGTTAATCAACAGCTAAATCTTAATCACGCAAACCTTTTTTTTTATCAACTTTTGAATTGAAATAAACAATCAAAACAATGAAAGAAACAACCATTGAGATAATGATGATAATCAATATTATTTGGAAAAACAAAAACAAAAACTTGTAGCGTGATTAGTTAATTGTTGTTGTTTTATTTTAAAACAAAAGGTGATTAAGAGGCAAAGGTGATGATGAAGATGATGAAAAATGATGATGAAGATGATGAAGATGATATTAAAAAGATATCAAGTTAATATCATTTCTTTGACTTCGTGGGAAGATGAACATGAGATTGCCATAGGTGATGAAGATGAAGATGAAGATGAGGATGAGGATGAGGATGAGGATGAGGATGAAGACCAGGAAAAGTTTTTATCTTCATCACTTGTTGGGATTTTTCATCTTCATCTTTTTCTTCTGGTTGATTGAATGAAATTGATGAACTTTTTTACTTTGTCTTCATCATCATCTTCAACTATATCAAAGATACAAATGTAATAATATTTAAAAAGCAATAACTTTTTCATCATCCTTTCTAGATGAAGATGAAGATGAGGATGCAAAAAGTTTTCGGTGAGAAATGTGAAAGATGCTTGAAAATGGGATGATAATTTCTGATGGTTTCTTTTTTTTATAATGCAAACAATGATGATGATGATGATGATAATGATAATAATAATAATAATATGAAATCTAAAAAGTAAGTGAGTGTGAAAATGTTTGATAATATTTATAAGAAGAAGATGAAAGATGAGGATGATGATGATGATGTTATTTCATCATAATAAATGTTTTCTTTTCATATAAATATATACACACACACAAAAGGATAAAAAGTTAAAAATGATGATGATGAAAGATGATGAAGATGAGAAAGTAAAATGATCTCAATTATTGACACAATTGTGAAAGTGTCCTTATGAAAACGCCTCAGGGTAAAAGATGAGATTCATCTTACACCTACATTAGAACTTTTTTTTTCGCTTCATCTTCTATGAGCCTAAACATACACACTCTCACATTTATATACACACATGCACACACGTTTTCAGCTTTATCTCCATCAGCATCCTCATCATGTTACCTTTTTATATACTTTTACTGTTTATTCATCAATGAAATGGTTAAGTTAAAATTCATCTCATGGATGAGCAAGATTATAAAGGCGTGGTTTATGCATCAATTGTATCATCATTGCTCTTGGACTTTTAATGAAGATGAGGATGAGAGAGAGCGAAAGTGTGAAGATGTGTGGCTGATGAGCTGCACGCGCCAGAGATGATGAATACATCGTTTTTTTGTTCTTCATCTTCTCATCTTCATGTTACAATTTAACCCTGAAAATGATGATTATGGTGATGAATTTGCATCATGATTAATACGCAGAAGCGATTCTGATGAATGAACTTTACCTACATGGAAAACCTGGTTGTTCAGTAAAATTGGAAACAATGGTAAGAAATAACAAGATGAAGATGATGAGGATGAGGAGGAAGATATGTGTTCTAGCTGAATAGAAAAAAAAGAGAATATTTTTTCGAACTGGAAAAGGAAGACAAAAGAAAAGAACCAGAAATAAAATGATGATGATGATGAGAAAGAAGAAGAAGAAGAAGC